AAAGCCTTGCTGTTTTAAGGCTTAGTGAGAATCAAGATCATGCAATCCCTTCAAATTTCCACATGGTCACCAGCAGAACTGCTCCTCTTCTAGCACTGAAGGAAATCCTATGGAGCCAGGACTTTCCAGGTATCAAAGGCTTTTGACCTTATCTGCGGAAAAAACTTAGATGGAGGGAGAGAGAAAGCATAGAGACAGGTGGGCCAAGCATAAAGAAGGCAGGCAGGTTCCAGGAACAGGAAAGCATAGAATACTTTCTGTATATTATCATTACATAGCATCAGCCAGCTGCCTGGTTACATACTCCTTTACCCTTCCAGTTACCAAATTAACTTTAAAACAGGCTTTATTTGCTGGTTACTTGCAACTGTGGGGAACACAAAGCAAATTAAACTTCTATTTTTTTATTCAGGTTCTTGTCAGGAAGAAGATTAATTCTATTTTACAAGCCTCCAGCTGCCTGAATTGTAATTTTATTATACAACAAAGTTTTATCACTGAATGGCTTACAAAGCCTAACTCCGATAACTGAATTAAAAGACACTCCTTATTAAAATAACAGATGAGAACTTAACATTTCCAGTTTCTTCAAATGGTCATTAGCTGACAGAAAATCTTTCCCAAAATTCTTTCCCAAAATGTAAGATTTTAATTTACAAAATAATAAGCTCTTCCTGCCCAGCTACAGCAGTAGTAATTTCCAATTAATGTTATGAAACCTGTATTTAATATCCACATATACAAAATGCTTAGGCTGCTGTTAATTTTTAAGATTTATTGGTAAGGAATAGAATTTGCTTTGGAGCAGGATTAAGGCAGGCACATCTTTCTGTTTTACATAAAGTTTTAGACTAAAGATTTTAGGCAGCACTAAGTATTACTTATCAAATTATGCAGCTTCTTATGCAAGAATTACAGGGATTTGTGAAAGAAATCTCTGCAAGAACAAATGTCAAAGTTTATCATAGCTTTAGTTGCTACAGTGTGGGATTTCACGGAGCACAGTCAGATCTAACTTGAAACATATACATAAGAACTTCTGTAAAAGAAAGCCCTTCAACTGTTTTTTATGCTTAAAAAGGAAAAAAATAAAACCACACAAAAATCTGATTAAGTAGAGGGGTAAGAAATTTTCGAAAGCATGAATGAGAAGTGAGCGTCTGATTAACAGCACACAGAACTGTAATGCTACCTCTAACTGTAGAGAGGATTTCAAAACAGTATGCACCAACTTGAACACCAGTTCTGAGCATCATAATCAGAGATCTCTCCACAAAGACCTCTGATAACAACAAATATAGGAGAGTCTACTCTATCAGACAAGATTAGCAATACACATGCTGCAGGGAAGCATTAAAAAACAGTAAATAATATTTCACAGAAACACCAACAGAGAGCTCAGAGCCATTAAACCGAGTGTCTCGCATTCTGCGTACAGTAAGAACTACAAAAACCAGCAAAACTGTCTCAAAATGGTAACTTGTTCTACTCAAAATCCCAACACATCTGACTGAGCAACACTGCGCCTTATGAGGCAACAAACCACAAGGCATTTTTTTAGCTCAAATTTAGAAAGGCAAAAATAGACGAAAACCTCCGCTCAACTAAGGTAGCTTTTTTAATGAGTTTCAGCCAATACAGATAATCTATCATGTAGAAGTAACCATCTATTTTCCAACCAATTCTGGCTGTTTTCTAGCCAAATTAATTTTTCACATCAGTTGCAGCAGGAGAGAAAATTGTATAATGAAAGCTAGCACCCAGCCTAATCATGAGATAACCCACTGCTTCTCCAGAACAGAATCTTCCTTCCACAGTTATCAACGCAGGCTGACAAACAGTAAGTTACATCCAGCAGAAGAACATCAACTCCAACGCAGCTCTCCAGAAACAAGGCAAAGCCACTTTTTCATATCCATTTAAGAAACCTTTTTTAAAACAAATACAAACAAAATAATGCAGCTTTATCTCATCCATATGATTTACAGCTCATTACAATTTGAAAGGTACAAATATAATTTTAATACTATCCAGTTTTCAGGTTTTTACACCCATAACTGATTAAGCATTTGTTGTGTGAAGATTTACATTGTTCCTGAGGAGGAGAAAACCTCGCATATGTAAGTGACATAAATTCCGAAAAATCTGTAACAGTTATGTTATTCAGAATACTTGGTTACAAACCCAGCCTGAATGAGAAGATATCTCACAATACTGCTTTTATTAGGGTTTTTTTTAGCTAAGTTATATCCAGCTTATTAAAAAAAAATAAAAAAGAGCACATACATTAAAATTCACTGCACATTTTAACGTAATGCATTAAAATCATAGAAAGAGATCTCCAGGTCTTCAATAAATTAAACCTGTTTCTCCCTTAAGTGCAATTGCAGTAATTCCTAGCAGAGGGTTCCTTTGGATCCTCCTGTTCTAACAACTACGAAACCCCTTCTAACTCCCAAACGGGTTGGTGTATGGACAGCGTTTATCAATCTGAACTAATGTAAGGATTTCTTCTTTTCTTAACTCTTTGCCCCATACATTTACAGATAGCAATCAGAATGGTTTCTTTCTCCTCCAGAAAATATTTGTCCATAGGAATTAACAGGAAGAGCCTCTTCCTCACATCACATCTCTCAATCATGCAGCAAGTCAAATAGGGAACCTGATCAGACAGGAAACTGACCCAGCACAAGAACTAGTTCTCTGTCAGATTATGTGATCCTTTCAACAGCTGCCTGTTAGAGCAGATTAAATGGATCATGAAACCACACACCAAGAGTTCATAAAGACCTGGCTAGCCACCTCAAAAATAAAACCAAGGGATGAAGTGGGGTTGGCTACATTTTTTGGAATTTACTATTTTTAATAGTACTGAGACTAAATTTATTCTCATCATGGGTCTCCTATAAGTTAACAAATACAAAGTGTTAATGAAAAAAGATGTAATTGACTAAGATTTGTAAGCCAGGTGGTATAAAACAAATCTGTGAGTTTGAAAGTCATGCAAACAACCTAAGCTTAGTGAAAGTTTGACTAAAGTCAGCGAAATTAGCTAAGTCCAAGGATCTGGTTCAAAATAACCCAACCTCACTAGGCATTCACTTTAGTTAAAGAAATAATACCAACATTTAACAGCACCAATAGGTAATCAGCAATGAAGTTTCACTACAGATAGGTATTTGCTATGCCAATTTCACATCCACCTGTACAACGGCTGTATGCAGATACACAAAAATTTAGAAATACATTTTACTTGTCAAAAGATGCAAACTTTTAAGTGGAAAGAAAGTGGGAACGATTTTCTAAACTACACTCTCACCCAGGCATTCTACAGGTACTGCAACAGAAAATAACTACAAGTAACTCTTATGACTCATGTCACGCCCTAAACAAGGATTAATCCAACACCTTTGAGACCTTTTATACCTTAGAAGAAGGATTTACTCCTCAGCAAAGATGTATCTTATGCTAGCAGAACCACTTCCACTTGGATAATTTAGATCCATTCTCCAAACCAAGTAAAACAAAGTTCTCTGGCCTAAAAACCCATGCCCATGCAGTGCCTCTGCTGGCAGCACTCATTCGACGCTGAGCAATCTTGGTCCAAGCCAGCCACCTCCAAGGACGTGCACACCTGAACCCTCATCCCTCCTTAGTCCCTCTTCAGAGCCTAACAAGTGCAAAGAGAAATACAAAGGCACCACCTGGGTCCAAAGAAAGCCATCCCATTTTAAGGAAGAAGTCCTTTTCTCAACTATTTTGTTTCTGCCTGTGGAAAATAAAAAGTTTAATGATGCAGCTGAGTACACACAACTTTCAATCCAGATCAGTAACATGTTTTTCTGGTTGTTGTCTGCCTGACAACAACTAGCAACTGGTGTGCAACACTGAGAATAACGAACAGCACCAGCAAGCAAGACTCATGGATTTTTTTTCATTTAAATTGCCTCATCCGTAAGGAATAGCAATCACAGTCTTAGAGATGGCCTTTGACATTTGCAGCATTTGCTACAGATGTAAAATGTTACATACAAACAAAAGCAAGTTTTCCCAACGGCGTTCATTAGCAACAAGCAACATCGAGGTCAGGATATGAAAATTTTTTCCATCACACATACTGTTAACAACAGTCATATTTGCACACTATAAATCTCAAAATTACTCAATCCAAATGAAGTGGACAGAAGCTGAACACATCTGATCCGCCTTAGCTGGACACATGAGCAAAGCACTGAAGCACATTACCAGAAAACACCCTGCCTGCAAGGACTTGGGGATGGCCAACAGGTTAAACCACATCCAGGGCAAAAGCAAGTTGTCTCAGGTGGAAGGAAACTGAAACCCCTCTCTGTCCTATGTGCCACCACTGGGCACAGGCAGCTGGGCCAGGAGGCATCATATTAAACACTGAGGGGAAAAGGGTTCAAAGATATAGATAGATAGATAGATAGATAGACAGACAGACAAGAAAAATGAAAGGAAGCCACCACGACAGCAGCAGAGATAGGGGTAAGATCTACCTCCCCCATAAAGCCGCCGGAAAAATGCAGAGTAATCTGAGCGGATGCATATACACGTGTGCATCCACAGACCGACACATGCACACAGACAAAACACACAGAGCGCATCTGCGGAGTTGCCGAGGTCCCATTACAAGCCAGCAGGTAAGGGCTCAGGTACCACCAGTGGGGCGAGTGACGATGCACCACACGACAAGGCGGCAGCACCACCGACACCCTCCATCGGGCCGCACCGGGCGGGGCGCGGGGGTTTCTAGAAGGAGCCACCGCCCCCCGGGGCCGCGCCGCCCGCCCGCTACCGGGCGGATAAAGTTTGCAGCAGCCGGCGGCGGCGCCACTGCAGTGCCGGGCGCGTCCGCCGCAGTGAGCGAGCTCAGCCTGCGGGAAGATGAGCGTCGGTAGGCCCAGGGCCGGCTAAGCGGCAGCCACAGCATCCCCTGCCTCCGCCCGATAGCAACCCCGATCTCCCGCTCTACTGACCGATAACCTCTTGCAGCTCGTAGGCGTCCCTGCAGATGGGCCAGCCGACGCCCGGGGCGGCTGGCGTTGGCGTTGGCGCCGGCTGGGGCTGCTGGACGTGGACCGGTGACTCGCTCTGCTCCGCCATGATGCTAGAGCGCACAAGCACCCGGCGACCTTCTTCAAACTTCCCTTCCAGCAACACCTTTCGGCCGCGCTGCCTCCCCGCGCAGCCGGCTGCCCGGCGGAGGGAGGAGGCAGGGCACCGAGGGGGAGGAGGCAGAGGCGGGCGGCGCCGCCGGCCCCGGCCGCTCGCCCCGCGCCGCCGAGGGGTGAGCGAGAGCGGCGTTCGGGCCCGGCGGCCCCCAGCTGGTGTCAGCGCGGCGGTGGTCGCCCCCTTCATGTGTCTCTGCCTGAGGGAGAAGCGCGGGCGGTCCGGCGAGGGGCCCTGCTGACGCCGGCGGCTCGTAGCCTGCTGGCCACATCCCCAGCCGTCGTCCTTACCCGCTCATCCCGCGGCTCGGCGGCTGGAAGCGCTGCGGGGTCCTGCGAGGGGTGGCGGGGCGAGCCCTAACCGCAGAACCCTGCGCGCCCCTCTGGGCCCGGCCGGTGCTAAGAGCGGGGCAGGGAAAGGCTTGAGGGAAGCTGCGAGGTGACTTGTATTTAAGTTTGAGGACTTCAGCAAAGCGTTTGCTGTCATCAGTGATGAGGGCTGCGGTTCTGTAAAGCGGTTAAGTTGCCGTTTGACCTGAGTGGCCTGTTCAAGGAAGGGTCGCAGAGGCGTACCTTGTCACTTCAGTGCTCACAGTGCCCCAGCTCACACCACCGAGAGGGACTGCGCGCTGAGAAATGTCCTCCTTGGCTCTCCAGAGAGAGCCAAGCGATTTAAACTCGAGACAAGAATGAGAATTGTTAAGCTTACCTACTGCTTCCCATTGTACAAGAAAAGAGGAAAGTAAAAAAGTTATATGAAACTGCTCTTAGTACAGGTATTTGCTCTTTTCTCCCTATTAGTAGTGTCAGTGTTTGTATAATATCACCAGGATTTTACTTACTAGGAAATAAATCAGAAAATAGCTGTTCGGGCAGTCTAAAGTCTCACTCATGCTTTGAATGCTTTATATTTTAAGATGTATGGAAATCTGGAAGAGTGGGAAGAAAATATTTCAACACATTTTAAAATCTTACTACAGCAGGAATTTAAGGTAATTAGAACTAATAATGAAAATACAGGAGTGGGAAAGATTCAAAAGTCAGCACTGATTAAAAGCAGAACGAGATCTCGTAAGTTGTTAGGAAGCATGATGAAGTGTGATTTAAAGTCACAACAAGAAATACATAACACAGCTTCTTAGATACTTCATTCAGTCTAGTTTGGTGCAGGATACCCCTCTTTTACTAACAAAACTATTTTTGTGTAGCTTATTCAGTGAAGACTTTCAGTTAATGGAAGGCTATTCCAAAAAGGAAAGCAAGTTAATTCTGGTTTTCTGTGTTTCTAAAAAAGCTGAATGAAGTATAAGCTCACCACCACTGACTGCTTAACGTTTCATCAAAAGGTATGTCAGCAACTTGCAGGTATGGAATCATTTGTGCACTGAACTTCCATTTTCTCACAAGCAACAGATAAGTTCATTATAGAGCTCCTAGTAGTAGAAAAAAATCTTGCACATTTTTGTGCTAAACTAATGATTCAGCTCAGTCTCATTTTTAAAAGATAGGTGATTAAAATTATTTCATGTGTACACGTTAGGAGTTGCCTGCCACAAAGCTAAATGTCAAGACTTCAAAGAGGAAGTGTTGTCATTCACGATTAAGCTTAATGCCAGGACTAGACAAACTTGTTGGTAGAGAAGACCTTTCTTGCCAGTAATAGCATGAAAAAATATGAGTAAGACAGCAACAGCACAGGCCAAATCAATCATCACAGAAAAATGGGTTACTCACTATTGATGGAAAACAGCCAACTTCTCCATCTATACTCAGCTGTTATGGGTGGTGGCAATGGGGTAGGGAGTCATTAGTTCCTGAGCCTTGAATTTCTGTGATGCTCCTGCCATATCACTATATGAACAGCTGAACTGCGGCTTCAGATCTGATACCATTATAGTAATTTTTGTCCCAATTATTGTCCCAGTTTGTCCCACTAATCCTACAACTTTGGGAATTTCTAGAGTGTAACTGCACTGTGTAGTTTAGTTGAAAAGAACAGCATTTACGTGAAGAACTTTCTAGGTTAGCAATTTTATAAACAGTGGGAGTTGTGGGATATGTTCCACACATTCAGGTTAGAACTCAAAAAGAACATCAGAGCCTCAAAGTCGGGTAAAATCGAGAAGAAAGCAACAGCAAGACCTTGAAGCAGTTGGTCTGTGCCAGTAGGTCAAGCTGCCGTCTAAAAGTAGGTCCCCCTGCTGGAGACATAGGCGAAGAGCCCTGTGGCAGTGACGGCTTTGCTGTTTAAAGCAGTACAGGCGATATAGCTCTTCCGCAAGACTTTTCAGAGACTGGAAAGAACAGCAATCTGCAGATTATGAAGATTCTAGAATTTTTTTTTTTTATAATTCCAGAAAAAAAAACTAGGACTCCTCCCCGCATGTACGAGAAGGGCTGAAAGGAGGATTCAGGAAATTGTCAGTGCCTGGGAGGATTATGGAGCAAATTTTCCTGGGGTCAGACCAAGGATGAGACTGGGAAAAGCCAGCATGGATTCACCATGAGCGAATCCTGCTTGACAAAGCTGATCACCTGCATTCTGACTGTACACAAGAGGAATATTTTTCACCATGTGAACAATCAACTAATGGAATAATCTCCCCAGGGAAATGGTGGATTTCCTAATATTGCATACTTTTAAGATTCAACGGGACAGGGTGCTGTTCAGGTGACATCATGTCTAGGTCATGCTTGCCCAGAAAGGTTGAACCAGATGATCCTTGAGGTCTTTTCCAAACTGATATTTTATGATTCTATGACTCACTTAAAATCACTATTCTGAAAATCAAAAATGGTTCAGAACAGTCCTGGCTAAACATGGTTTAGCCTTTCCTAGTGCTTGAAGACATAGGACTCTAAGAGATTGTCTGTGTCACTGAGTCCAGTCACCAAATGATTGATACCAAAGTGAAAAAAACATTTACAAAGCCAGGCTACAAGCAAAACCAGCTATATTTTAAACTCTGGAGGCCAACATGGGAGAACAGATAATCCAGTGCTCAGACCTCTTGATAGTCCCCAGCAGTACCCTCGGCAGATAGCAACAACAACAAAAAGTTTAGAGCAAAATATCTCAGACTTCATTTCTAGGTTTCGGTGATTTAGGCAAGAATAACATTGGTGATTACAACAACATTTCAGACCAATTAATTAGCTTTAAATGTACCTATATAAAGTCAAAGACGAGCGTGAGGACTGGGATTCATAAGCAATGGCACATAGACCAGTAGCATGCACAATGCACAGCACCTACCCACTCTTTTATTCTTTTGCGAGTAGAAAGGCAGCAGTTGTAACCTGAACAGCCACATAACCTAGCACAGACTAAACCAGAGTGAGAAGGAACTGTTCTCTCTACTATCATTTCTAGCTCAGAGAAACAAGTGAAGTGAAACCATCCTCTCTCCCCAGAAATAGTCTAAATATTGCAGCTATGATCATCACGTGGTATAGCACAGGTCTCTGCAATTATGTACATAAGGTTTGAAAGCCTCTTACTTGATAGCAGTGAGGGATGGCTGTGCTTTAAATGACATCATGAAATATAAAGGCTGATGCAACAGCAGCTGGTGCTAATGGGAGTGGACTAAATGTTTTCAACCTCCCTTTTTCTTCTAGTGAATGCATAGTTAAATAGGTTGCATGCCTATTGTCAGTAGGATGCTTGCGTTCATCAAAGTTTGCAGCATAGGTTAGTTTCGGCTCACACAGAGGACAGGAGAATCTTCTTGGCAATTCATATGACTAAAAACATCTTAAGACACTGGAGAAACTTTGATTCAAAAATCTTACTGAAGTTAATGCCTTATCACAGCATAGTGACCTTACAAAATAAACTGCTTTTATTTTTTTCCTAGGTCAAAGACCTTCATGTCTTTGTCTCTTTTTCCCCCTCTCTCCTCCTTATAAACCTTTGCAAGCTGTTCTACTCAGCATATTTACTCCTTAAACTCTGGTAAGAAGATTTTGTGTTCTGGGTAGTAATTGTTGAACCAGTAACTAATAAACTAGAGTTTGTTATATAATCAAATGGGCCTTTTAATTATTTCTTCTATACCATATCCCAAGCTGGTAACAGTCCTTGCAATAGAAACTTCCATTGCCTTTCTGGTAAGTACAGTGAGTGCCACAAAACTTGCCACTGTGGTTAGTGACTCTTTCTATTAGAAACAGAATTAAGTACTGTTCACTTTCATGTGAATACCAAAGCTTTTTCTTAAGTATTTTCTTACTTGACCATCCATTTTTCAGGCCACAGATATGGGAAATGCTCACATATTTGTCTCAACCACTTTGAATGTGAGTAGCCTTGACAGGCATATTAAAGGCATCATTTAAAATAATAATGGAGCCTATGTGAACTGCTCTGCAGAGCTGGAGAGCAGATGCAGCCCCTGTCTCAATACAGTTTTTCCTCAACGTCACAGCTAGCATTGCATGGTAGGACCCACTGTTAAGGCAGTTAAGTCTTCACATCCTCCCCATCCAGCTTTGCAGGTGAGATGATGAGAATGCATTTTGTAGTTAACTTGCTATTGCTACCACACCAGCCAAAACTTGCAAATTACCAGCTTAAAAATGACTAGTTTATTCCAGTACCATAAGCACCAGTGGCTTATTACCTCAATCATAATGGTACACCAATGATTATACATTTCAAACTTTTAAAATTCAGAACTGTGCATACATTTAGAATATTTACACACCAGCCATCCATGGTGTGTAAACATAGCAACAACAACCTTTTTGCAACACATGGCTTTTGGAACCTGCAGGCATCACAATTTCTGCTATGATGGTTTGAAGGAACTTAGGATACAGTTACCATGAATATGACAGTGGACCAAAGGTTATCGTTGTTTTTGAACTCCAGGTTAATATTGTTAAGATGTTGTGTAGGTGTCTGGATTTCTGAGGCTTTTATCAGGAATGAGCTCTCTGTAGCTTTGAATGGATAAAACTCAACCATATAAAAGAGTTGAACTGTGAACCTCCATGGCTTTCATCACTGTAGGATGTGAACAGCTCATGCATATTAATAAATTAATCTTCACATACCAGAAGGCTGGGGAATATAATTATCTCAATTTCACAACTGGAAACAGAGAAAGCTTAGGGATTTGATAAAGGTCATACAAGAAGTCTGTAGCAAAACTGGGAAGGTAACATATATTTTCTAAGGATGGGATTTCACACAGTCTC